AGAACACGGACATTCTAGCAGTAAGTTTCTGAGCATCAGTGGCAAGTTTACAGTCAGTGCTCACAGCTCCGGAGACTTCTTCCAGCAGAGCATGTGGCTGGAGGAGAGTCCTCCCAGTCACCAGAGGAAATTCGACAAGTGAAAACCTGCAAACTCTTTATTAAATTCTCCCGTTTCATCTGTACAGAAAAAAACGCACATTATGTTCAGAATCTCGGTAACATCTCAAAATTACACAGCATGAACATGTAAAAACAAGAAACTTCCAGGATTTTATACATAGAAAGGAAAACCATTTACAAAAGAGGCTTGTTAGTTTTACTTTTCTTTTCTTCCTTCTTAAAAAAAAAAAAGTTAAAGGCCTAGGATCTCACACAGCATTTGCTGTACAGTCTGTTTTCCTGCTTCGATTGACCTGGGAACATGGTGTTGGGAGAAGCCACTCAGGAAGCCTCGGGCTGCCAGCCCCTCCTGTCGGTCACTCACTCTAGTGCCCCTCAGTCTGACAGGGGACCTGTTCAAACTATCTAGCATGTGTGGTACAGGGCCTGCTGGGCTCTGGGGTCCAGTTGTCAACTCTATGTTGGGGGGAAGGCACTATCTGAATTTTCTCCTTGCCCAAGGAGATTCCTCCACTGCATGTACCCCAACACCCCTACCTGTGTGTTGTGGCAGATCTTGGGAAGGCAGAAGGAGAGGAAGCCACCATCAGGATCCTGTCACTACCAGCCCGAGCAGACAGTCCCACCTTCGAGCTCCAGATGACAAATAGTCCCTGGGTCTCCACAGTGATCTCACTAGATGGCTTGGATAAACCTGTCACTCTCGAAGAGTCAGTCTTGGTTTGCTAATGACTGATCTTTTGTCTGAGGTCTGGGCAGGAAGGGGGATTTGGCTTCAAACTTGATTGCCCTGACATGTGACCCTGGTCCTAGGGGAGAGGAGGACCAAGAGGAGTGTAGTGGGAGAGATGACCAACCAAAGACATGTGAGAGTGAGAGGAGAGAGAGAGAGAGAGAGAGAGAGAGAGAGAGAGAGAGAGAGAGACACGGAGACCAGAACATCAGCTTTGGCCCCAGGCCCTTTGGGAATTGAAGACCAGTGGGGAAGAGGTGATTTAGGAGTAGAGTATCCCTAAAGGCCTGGTGGAAACTCAGGGCACTGGAATGCTGCATTTTATAAAATTACTTAGGTGCTGTCCAAATGGTGAGAATAAATAAAAGGAGTCTTTGAGGTTTTTCAAATTCCTAAGAATCAGAAATATAAGTAAACATACCAAATTGCACATGATTCAAAAAGCCATATTCTTCTTTTTGTTCTACGGCCCAAATTTAGTTTGAATGTGTCAGGCTGTGTTGGCCTCTAAGGGTGCCTACTCCAGGTTCCTTCTCTGTATCTGCTTGCTTAGAGTAAGTTATATGTGGAAAACGTTTACTTTTTAGTGGGGGAGGGGAAGAAATGGGATGGGGAGGCCTTTTCTCAGAGGAACTTGAGACCAGGTAAGGAGGTCCCACAAAGCAACCTACCCCTCCCTGGGTGACTCACACTAGTGGGGATCTTTAGGATAGAAGTGGCACCACAAGCCTGGAGGTGGCGCACAAGTCAGGCTCATATAGGAGAGTGAATCTTCTTTTGGGAAAAGGTGGAGGGAAGTCAGCACTCTGTCTGATAAAACGTAAACGATCCTACGACTCTTTACTACTGGCTTCTCTTGTTACTTGACCTCAGGAAACAGGAAGAAATGAAATCTGATGGTAATTTCCTGTCACACCTAGGAAGCAGAATCTCCCTCCTTCCCCAGCGTCCCCAAGAAGAATACGTGCAGGATGTGAGACTTGCAATGAATACAAGTCAACACCTGCTCACTCAGTATTAGAATTCCCCTCGCTTCTAAGGATGCACTGGCTCAGAACAAGCTGATGGGATCCATAGCACTGGGCCTGGTAGTGGTACCAGAATTTCAGGGAATGCTAAGAAGGAGGGCTTTCCTGCTGGAGTGAACCCAAGCCCGAGCGATGGCTCCCACCTCAGAGCATCTTGCTAGCAGACTTCTCTTGGCACAGCAGCAACAGCAGAGGAAGGCCAGGGATGCACCAGGCTCAAGGTCTCACTCCCGCAGCCACCCTTGTGTGTGAGAAACTCCGATGCAGGGAGAGGACAGCCTTGTTCTTGACGTTCTGCTCAGATTTCTGATCGCCTGCACTGCAGGGTCTCCAGCCCAGACTGCCCTCCTGGCACCTCTGGGGTGTCGCAGAGACACCAAGTCTGAGTCTCTGAGACACTGCAGTGAGCTGACACGGCCTGATGAGTTCTCTGGCTACTGTCATCTCCAGCAAGTGCTTGGAGCCTTGGCCTTGGACAAAAACCCTACCTGCTGCTTCTGTTATTGTTCATGGGCATCAGAAGGACACAGGTCTGTCATCCGCTCCACTAGGGCCGTGGTTTCTTCCTGACTAATTCTTGACTAGCTGATTTACCCAAGAGTGGCCTGTGAGTCCAGTAACCAGAGGAGCCCCAGAACCTGTTTTGTTACACCAATGAGGTACAGAATGGATATAGTTGGGCCGTAGTTTCAGATGGTGCTGGGCCCCCTGGATGCAGGAAACTGCTCAGTCATATGAAACTATTCTAAAAACCAGTCACTGAAACTATTCCAAGTCGGATGGTGGAATGTTTTCTGACAACGAGCAATCAAAGATACCAGCTGAGTTATCCCTTCTATCTATCCGGATCATTTCTAAAGATGACAAATGTTTCAAGAATCAAACTCCTTTTCAAACTTCCAGATCTGCTGCAGACAGTTGAGATCATCTCTCAGTTCAGAAAGAACAAGAGTATCTACACACATTAAACTATGGAGATGTTTTACATACACTGGGAGGGAGACTGCAGAGATGGAGAATGGTCCTCCCACTCTCATCAAACAGGGAACAGTCATTCTATCCTGTCTGTGTACAGATATATCCCCGGTCTTCGATCCCAGACCCCACCACCCAGCGGGGAGCCCCTGGAGGTGGACTATCTAGATCAGCTCAGTTCAGTCCAAAAGTGGTGGTAGGAGGGGTGCTGCTCGGACTCCAAGAGTTTCAAGTTTTATGAGGCTGAAGAACCCCAGGACAGTTGCTAAGAATCAGGAAGACCCTGAGAGCAGGACTCGGGGGAACAAGCAGCTTGGAAGCTCCCCTTCATGACTTGGAGTACCCTAGGCAGGGGGGATATGCAGCTTCTAGATCCCAGTGCCTCCAGGAAGGGTAGGAAAAAGGAAAAAGAAAGAAAAAGAAGAAAACCACAGTATTCAAATATATGTCAGTCAGGTTAGACAAGGAGTCATTTGGATCAACCGAGCCACAAACTGACCCACTTTGTACTGAACACATTCCAGGGAAGACAGATGTGGGGAGGTCCCTCAGCACGTGTGCACGGTGGCAAAGAGGCGCAGGCCAAGGGATGGAGCATGGTCTATGTGGACAGTTTTAGGCACGTGATTTATAATACTTTGTGGAGTCTAACAGGTTAATAAAATATATATTATATAAATATATCTTCTACTGTACACGCCGCCCTCTTGTGCAGCCACTGGATTCCATGCCCCAAACTCAAGTCCAGGTGCACCAGGTTGAACTGTGATGCCTGCACTCCTCCCTTTTTATACTCCAAGCCTGTCATCTCTACACTGGAGGGACGAGGGATGGTCAGGAATATTGCTTCCATAAAGCTCAGATTCAGGAAAGACTGATGAATCATCAAAGTACATTTAGCCAATGCCTACTGTAGTGGGTGTATGCAGCAAACGGGCAGAAGGAAAAAACGGAGAGACGCCTCCATCTTTTAATGTAGTAACCTTCCACACCCTCTCCATGTAGAGGCCTAAAGGAGCTTGTCTGGGAAGGTGGCCTTGAACCTGCAGAAAGGTCAGGTTGGACTGCCAGTCACACCCTGAGACCAGGCTAAGTCTTTATAAGCCATTGTCTCTGACCTGTATTGCTGCCTGAGAAGTAAAGCAAAGTCAATCAATCCCCTGCTCCTCCTTCCTGCCCTGAGCTCCAGCCCCCATAGTCACGGCCTCCCGGTGAAGCGGAGGACTTCTGGAGGAACTGCCACCCCAGCAGGATCAATCCGAACGCGGCTTGAGTCCTGCACTGCCCTGGAGGAGGAAGGTCACTGGGACACTCTGCCTTGGGCCTCAGGGTCCAGCCTCTCCATGCAGATCAGTGGACTGATCAGCTGCACACACTTCTGATCCCCTCTCCAACCCATCTGCCCTCGGCCTAGGGAAGCTCATGCTCCACTTCACTGAGGTGAGGAGATCACACAAATACCCACGGCTGTGGGGTCCTGACCAGCAGCGGCTCTACTAGGGTAGGAACTGGAAGGCATCACTGTTTCAGCAGAAGAAAACAAGACCCAAAGCGGGCTGGTTAATCGTTTCCCACTACTCGGTGAAGTCCATGGCCCTGACATGGGCCAAAGGTGCTTTTGAGAAGTAAGCAAGACATCCCAGTTATAGCATATTGGGTGGTGTGTTTCCCCTCTAAAGTCCTGCCTTCATTTTACACTGTCACACAGAAGAAATAACCCCATTGCTCAAATCAAGCCTGGAGGAGATGTGTTACTATATACATTTTTTTCTTTAAAAATTTCTTTTTTTTTTTTTTGGTGTTTTTAAAAAAAAAAATCATTTGAGTTGCAGGTCAGGTGAGTTGGTTCTGGAAGTACTGGTAGTTCCATCGGTATGAGAGGCTTGTCTATGGGCAGGTAAACCCAAGTTTGCCAACAAAGCCAATACCCAAAGCGGCCAGCTGCTGCACAAATGGTCGAGGAGGAGGATACCATGGACATGGGTGAAGTCTGAGACAGGACAATGCGGTGGATACCTGCTGCTGCTCTAACATGGGTGTTGGTGTCACCTCGCAGAAGGACGAGGTGAGTGGGTACGCTATACAGGAGGGCTGTACAAACTGGGCACTGGACAGGTAGTTCCTCTGGTGCTCAAGGTGGCTCTACCTGTCCTTGAGCTCTCGTGTCACTCGTTTGGTGATACGTCCACACATCAGGCCAATCAGGAACAATATGCAGATGCTCCCACTGATCACAGAGAGAATGTAGTTCTTTGAAGGGGATGTCATCACTTGCATGGCGAGGTCAGAGAAGCCATCTGCTGGGGCCACCTGGAAAACACACAGGGGCATCATCCTCAGAGAGAAGTGGGCTGGGACAATGCTTGCTCTAACTTGCCCCCCTGGACTCCTACTGTAACTTAGGTCATTTCTTTTGGGGAGAGAGGAGGGCAACGGGCAAGAAAATCAAACACCGAGCTACAACTGTTTTTCCCGATCATACAATTCATCACAGTGATCACTGCCGCCCACGTAGTAACAGCTCTCATACTGAGCACCTGACGGTGGGCTGGCAAAGGGCTCAGCATGTTTCAATCGTTTAGTCCTCACATTAGTCCTGGGACGTAGATTTTACTACTCCCACATTACAGATGAAGACCCGGAGGCCCAAGGGGTGGGAAGTGGTCAAGTGACTTGCACAAGGTCACAGGTTCTTACATATTTTGATTTATTTTCTTCATGTTGCTGACTTTTTAAAAACAAAGAGAAAAGTTGAGATTCTGTCGGGTGCTAATTCTCTGTTGTGACTTGTTTCCACTCACCATCATATCATCAGCATCCCCCCCCACGAAAAACAACTTGCAAACATGACTTATGCTGATTGAATATACTTAATCACTCCCCCAATCGTGGACACTCGGAGTCTAACCAGTTTTCATCCTCAGTTTTCCTCAGTGCTTTCTCCAGTGGACCTCTATGGTAGGCTACTATGGCAGAATCAGGACCAAAAGGTTCCCCAGGTGCACACGGACCTGTTCTGTTGAGTCTCAACTTAGCCTGGGTGCTGAAAAGGGTCCAGCCCAGAGAGGTCTGGGCTGCTTCTATGCTCATCCATGTACTCAGAACAGAGCAAGGAGGCTCCAGATTAATCTGATTTAAGCACCAACATCTGCCAACAAAAAACTAGCAGTGGAGTCACTGTGAAGCAACGCTTGGCGGCTCAAAGGCGGAAACCAGTGATGAAAGAAGGGACTAATTAATGTCTCTGCTGTGCTATCTGGAGAGGATGGCTCCAGGCTCACAGAGCCCAGGCGTCTTATGGTGCACTGAGAGATTTTTTCAAATAAACCTACTGCCAGTCTCACAACAAGGACAAGGAGGCCAGTGAAGTATCTCAAAGAGACCTGGGAAATTGACAGAGGAGACGCCACATCAGGAGATTCTCGTGGTCATTACCTTTGCTGCGTAACTCCACATTTCAATCCGGTCATTGAGGCGTTTTTTGCACTCAGGTTGTAACCTCACCCGCTTATCCTCCAGGGCCTCCATAAGGCAGGACATTTCTGTGCAACGGAAAGGGATAAGAAGCGTCTGAAGCTGTACAGAACAGAAATTTCGGTAAGGATGGGGAGAAGGGTACCTAACCACCAGAGAATTCAGATCTGGAGGCTATACAAAGTTAAATCCCTTCAAGGACACTTAACCCAAGATCTACCATGGAGAAGAATATTTAAGGTTGGCTGTCCAGAGTCTCTCTTAAAACCTCTCTCATTTTTTTTCATTGGACACACATGGCTCAGAAACAACCATACACCTGCACAGGTTCCACCTCACACAGAACCTGTCTGCTGAGCCCACTGTGGCCACCGGGGAAGCTGATGAAGCTGTTCAAGGTTAGACAAGGCAGGGAAGAGGGCCACGATGATAGCTTAACTTTTGCCTCCCTGATAAACAACTCAACTTCCTCCTGTCATCAAACCTTTACCTCGGGTCATGGCTCTATCAGTTCAAACCTGCAGCAGGATTACTCCTAAACTCACTTTGCCACAAAGGCATCAACCAGGCCCCCAGTGGATGCTGTCTACGGTTGAGCTGCAGCTACAGAACAGAGTAGCTGGAAGTGATGTCTCAGAGGGAGTCTTTGCTCCTCCCAAGATAGTTCAGACAGGGTCAGAGTGAACACCATGACTTACGACGCCCTCGGCCAGGGGTGATGGCTGCACAGTGGTGTTTAATATCCAGGGCACAAGCTGTGTGAAGAACTGGGTCCACAAAGATGTCTGCTTTGCTTTCCTTCAGCATGTTTAACACTTCCTAAGAAGGGAAGATCATACAGAGAGCTTTTATAGAGGAAATACATCAGATCTGTTGTCTGTAAATACTTTACATACAAACAAAAAAGTCAAGGAGGGACGATTAAGCCAACAGAGGCTACTCTGAGATAGGTGGCAACGTGGTGATGATGCAAAGAACGCAGATGGTTAGCATCCAATTTAATTCAATAAATACAATTTGGGGACCTAGTGTATGCAGAGCTGTTTGCTAATAAGCAAAGCGAGGCAAGTTTAAGATCAGAATTGGGTTTTGGGCACTCTGCTATGCTATATTATTAAATACTAAGTGTTAGTGTTTATATTGATTTAATGCAGTTATTTTGTTACTTTATATGTCTGAAAATGTGAAAACTGAAAATCAGAGTAATAAGCTATATTAAAATTCTCAAACAGAAAGGTGCATTTGCAAAATGTTTCACTTTACTTCCATTATCCTCAAAAGGAAAGAAAGAACTGACAGAGCATAACTTCTACCGCAAGAATAATTCTTATATGAGTTTAAAGATGTTCTGAACAACAGGAATATAAACATGATAGAATTGAAATCAACTCTGCAGACTCTCCATTTATACATGATGAAATTATAGCAGGTAAAGACAGTCAAAAATTGCTTTCTTAAGTAAAAATTACTTTGTGCTTCACAGACTGTAAAACAACAATAAAACAAACAAAAACAAAAAACTGAAATGTTCAAAAAGTCCTCCTTGAAGTTAAATGGGATAATTTGATGAAAAAGTATTCAAAGGAAAATATCTGGATTTAGCCTTTAGCCAACTTCTGCCACTCCTCAGACCATGTGGAATTAGAAACATTTTTAGCAGATGAAAATATCTGCACACAATATTCACAGTGACTCAGTAATATCATTGAAACACTTTTCCAAAAAGAGATTAAGTTTTTAAAAAAAGATCAAATACATTATTTCACTTTCAATTTTGTAAGATAATGCATGCTTAGCTATCTTTTTTTTAAATTAATTAATTTATTTTTGGCTGCGTTGGGTCTTCGTTGCTGCACGTGGGCTTTCTCTAGTTGTGGTGAGCGGGGGCTACTCTTTGTTGCGGTGTGTGGGCTTCTCATTGTGGTGGCTTCTCTTGTTGCAGAGCATGGGCTCTAGGCGCACGGGCTTCAGTAGTTGTGGCACACAGGCTCAGCAGCTGTGGCTTGTGGGCTCTAGAGGGCAGGCTCAGTAGTTGTGGCTCACAGGCTCTAGAGCGCAGGCTCAGTAGTTGTGGCACACAGGCTCAGCAGCTGTGGCTTGTGGGCTCTAGAGGGCAGGCTCAGTAGTTGTGGCTCACAGGCTCTAGAGCGCAGGCTCAGTAGTTGTGGCACACAGGCTTAGTTGCTCCACAGCATGTGGGATCTTCCTGGACTAGGGCTCGAACCTGTGTCCCCTGCACTGGCAGGAGGAGTCTTAACCACTGCATCACCAGAGAAGTCCAGCTATCATATTTTGATAAATTTGTTTCTATGTGATGTTTCTGAAATGAACTGAATTTGTAGTTTCATTGACTTTTACTAATGCAGTACGCTTACTGATATATTGGAATTGACATTTTACTTTGGCATAGTACTTAAACAATGACCTTAAACAATGGTCTAGTCATGGGGATGAGACATATTCACAAGTAATTAGTACACGTGAAAGACTATTTAAGTTACAATTAATGGTCAAAAGGCAAATCAGTTTGGTAAGAGGGAACAAGATAGAATTCTTGGAAGGAAGGTTTAGATTTGATCACTAAGATGTACAGACTATAGCTTTAAGAGGAAGAAGAGGAGAGAAAAGCAAGTGAGAGAAAATGGTGATTGACGGTGTTACCTTTTTACACATTTCTGTTTTGATTTTGAGCAGGTTAACTTTGAGGCACTCCTCTACTTGACCTGTCTGCTCCTGGGCTGCTGCTTCTTCGGCACATAGACTGGCAATCTGTTCAGGACACACACAAAAAACAAGGGAACCCCTACTCTCACGAGACAGCTTGGTCTCTGAAGCATGTCGATTGGAGATCCTCCCACACATGTGCCCGGGGCTCTTCTCAAACGGATTCCTGGTGGATTTCACTCCCCTCCCTCCCATACGGGATGCCAGGCTCTTTTCTCCTTCACAAGGACTGGCACAGAATTGAAAAACAGTCAATACATGTATCTTCATGCTGTCAACCCCAAGACCTGAGTCAGACTGTCCCAGGGCTGGTCACAAAGAAGGCTACTCTCTGATTCCTCAAGAGGAAGGTCATACGGCCAAGTAAAATCCTAAAAGCAAATGCTTGACATTGACAGAGGTTCAGAGTCAACCCAGCTACACAGCTTGGAAACACACACACACACACACACACACACACACACACACACACACACACACACACGGGTACTGACACATAGCCTGCAGCACAGTTAAAAATTTAACCTTCTTTGGACAGCTTTATGAGTAAGCGTTTTTGAAATATCTTTAGCTATGTTCCCATAAAATGGACATATGTTGAACAAGGTTTACTACATGACCTTTTGTAGCTAGAAAGTAAAATAATATCCAAGAACTGGCACTTTGTTAGAGGTATTACAGGAGCACTTTTATCCTTCTGGCAAGTGTTGGGAGTATTCTGCGTTGAATATCAGAATAAGGAGAGGGAAGAACAAACTAGACGTAGACAGATATAATAAAAAAAAAACGTTGTTCAATAGAGAAATATGGAATCAAAACTGAATAGTGATAGGACTAAGGACAAACCAAATTCAGTGTTACACAGAACCAGGAACTCAGACAGTGGAGAGCCTAGAAGAGCCCTGGATTCAGGGCTGAAGGGAAACAGAGTAAAGAACTTTTCTCCAGTAAAAACTTCTCTGACCAGCTCTGTTCACAACCAGTTTTGTCCCCCAATCCTACCTCATCCGAGCAGTGTAGCTGGAGCTGAGGATCGAGTCGGTAATCTAGAGCAGACTCCTGGATAATAATCCGGATCTGGTCTTCGCAGTCTGAAGAGAGGCGCTACATGTGACAAGGGAGGGTATGTCAGCCTATTAGAACATGTCAGCTTTTTATCTGGGCCCTGGCTTGGGGAAGGTATGCAAAAAGGTCTTGGGCAAAGTAGCAGCAAGCTACAGACCTCCAAAGAAAAAACTGCCAGGACTAGTGTAGGTTCCATAAGTATACCTCTGTGGAAAGCCTAGGGCAGTTTACCTGGTCAGCATATCTCAACTTGAGGCAAGAGATGACTTGACCTTCTAACTCCGAATCATCCTTGGCCTTAGTCAGGATACCATGACAGAATTTAGGAATGTCAGCTTTACAGGCTTTCCTTAGCACAGGGTTTAAGCGGTAATCTAGAGCAGAAAGTAATAAGCACATGATAAAACACTCCACCTGGATTCACAAATGTTTTGAGATCCACTTACCCAAAGGGGGCATATTATGTCAATGACCATTAATAAACCACTGATTTGTTTATTTGGTAAATGTTTACTGAGCTCTCACTACACTGTTTTATTTTATTTTATTTTTGGCCATGTCCTGCGGCTTGTGGGACTGAACCCGGGCCATGGCAGTGAAAGCCCGGAATCCTAACTACTAGGCCACCAGGGAACTCCCTCAACATGCTGTTTTAAATCAGCAGTATACTGTGGTGGAAGAGCAGACGTGGAGACCCCCAGGAAACGTACTCCGCAGCAGCTCTGTAGGATCTATTGAAGCCAACATTCTAAGCAGTCCTCACAAAAATCTAGCAGACATCAGCAACCTTCCCCATCATACATATTTTTGAAAATTCTGAGAACAGAATATCCAACTCAACTTGATCACTAAGTTACAAGGTCTTGCAACTCAGAGCTTAAATTTCTCTGTTCTAAAACAGATTACCCATATATTCTCCTGCCACATGCGTGAAGTTTTACTAAATTTCTAGACTTTTCAACGAATTTTAGCCCTAATTCGTTTTGGACACCCTTCAAAGGCAAGTTTCCTGTGTTTTCAGCCTCCTCTTTCCCATGACTTTCATTCTGTTCTTCTAGATGCCCTTCAAGGAAGAAGTAAGTCACTTTGCTCATTACATCCAGACTCTTTCCTTAACATTCAGGAGCAACAAAGCACCTTTAGTTTAATTAGGCAAGTATATGCCCGCTCAATTCCTTTCAAGCCATACCCAGCAGGACCAGGAAAGCCATGCCAAAATGTTACCAGTGTTCTGGGTGATCTGGCGCTTGGTTATCATCTGTTTGCATTTGGGATCCATCAATTCACTGTTCTTATTTTGCTTCAAGCATTGCAACATAGTTTTGGAATCGGCTTCTGGACAGAATCTCTGCAAAGAAACAAAGTTTCATAAAAGTAGTTACCCAAATATGGCAATTAACACCATATTTATCACTCTTACATCTTTTGGGGAGCTTATGACAGAACCTAAAGGTATCACTTGGGATGAGAAATGTTAAGCCTGAATAATCACCCAGCCTCAAGTTCCCCTTTATCTATTCTCTACTATATTTCTCACATTTCTTTCTACTATCTGTTTCCTATTTTGGATAGGATGCATTCCCTACTTACATGGCTATGCTACATTCCACGGCCTCTCATAAGCTTACATACTGTTTATGCATGAACGTAACATTGTACCAGGTGACCACGTAGCCCTCAAGCCACATCTACCCAATCCCAATGGGAAATTTAGGAATTACCCAGCAACCAGTGTGAACAGGGATGTGGGGGAAGGACCTATCTGGTTCACCCCTTTAACCAGAGGGGCTATAATCCTATCAAATCTTGCGGAGCCAGCCCCTGTATACTTGTTAGTGTCCTTGAAGTCAGAGATTCATTTTGGACTAGTGATAAACTCCACCTCTATCTGTTAATCCACAGTCTATTTATTATAGTCCACTGTTATCTTAATATGGGGACATGGATTGCTGACTGATTTTTATAGAAGTCATCAAAATCTTACAAACCTCCCTCAAATCAGAGCCTGACATTTCCACTTTTACAGAGGACTCAATTCTTCCAGACCCAGCTAAAGAGACTTCTAACTTTCACAGTTCTCTTTGGAGTTTACTGATAGGGTGAGGAGTATCATTTTATTTTAAAGGGAAGCTGAAATAAGGGGTTAGCACTTTAAGTTTAATCTCTTTGTACGTGTGGACAAATAAAGGAACTGACATCCAGGTTCTCCAGTCAGCCCTGCTGCAGGGGGCATTTATTGGAGAAGTAAATGAAGCAAAACAACCTGTAGAACAAAAAAAGCCTTTGATGGTGATAGATGGATGATCAGGACATTTGATGGTGGCTTCCTCAGTATACCTACCACCAACCGCACTCAAAACCAATCACATACTTAATGGACATCTATTTACTTCTTCCTCAGGTCAAAGTGAGGTTAGCTATCTTAGCTTAGCGGTTCTGAAACTTGAGCTTCACTGGAACCCCCGGGGGCTTGTGAAAACAGAAGGCGCCACTCCCAGAGCTGCAATCAGAGATTGGGGTGGGGCCTGAGACTTTGTAAGTTCCCAGGTGGTGCTGACGTTGCAGGTCTAGGGACCAGACTTCAAGAACCACAGCCGTAGCTGTATAAAACAGGTTGACATTGAGAGATTATATGAATTTTCTCTGAAATTTAAAGGAGTTTGTGTTTTTGTTATGTTGACTTACCCTGTGCTCAACCCTTGGTTTTGGGCCCCTTACCTTTATCATCTGCTTGCAGACTCTCATGAGTGTATAGTCTAGTTCTGGATCCATCATCTCTGTCTCCTGCAGCTTAAAGACTTTCTGGTGGCAACGGGTGCTCAGCTGCTTCTTGTTTTCTTTCAGACACTCAATAATCTAGGGCATAACAGTTACGGGCAAGTTAAGAGGTGGATCAGGTATTGATAATCCATGTTTTCTGACTGAAGCATTAAGTTCTTATTACATTCCTCACTTTTCTATACAGGTACCTTTCATTTCTAATTCCTAGGTAATAGGAATCAGGATTTCCTCACAAAGGAGAATTATATTTATAGATTTACAACCCCAGGGCTAATAGCAAACCAAATGTATAAAAATTGTGGATAAAGAGCAGGTTGTACTGGAGTCTAAGGGGAAGGAAACCCTCTCAAGGTTCCTGGTTTCTTCTTCCTTCCAGGGCTATTCCTTTTCAAGATTCCTTTTGGAGCATACATCAGGCTCTCTGCCTTTCCCTGGAGCAATAACCCTGACTCGACAGTAAGCACAAGCCAGGAAGTTCAGTTTAACTCGCCATTTACCACATGAGAACAGAGCATTAGAGGCCAGCTATGAATGAGACTCAATCCTTACCTTTGAAGACTATATAGTCTCACAGGGCAAAGTTATATAAACAAACAGCTACAATAAAAAAGATGAGTGACTTAACATAAAAGAATAAAGTGCCATGGGATAGATTTTAAGATAGTGAATTAGGTGTATCCTAAAACCTCCCCTTCCCTACAACAAACTTTTAGCTACTATAAAAAAAAGATAAAGCAAGAAAGCAGATGGGAAGCTGCAGTAGCTAGGGCTGTAGCATGTAGTCATGAGACTTCTATGAAATCCTCAAGGCATAAGCAAGAATCACCAAATACAGTTGACCCTTCAATGACAAGGGTTTGAACTACGCAGGTCCACTTATATGAGAATTTTTTTCAATAGTAAACACTACAGTACTACATGATCTGTGACTGCTTGAATCTGTGGATGTGGAACTTAGATAGGGAGGGCCCAACATATATGGAGGGCTGACACTATACACAGGTTTTTAACTATGTGAACGTGCAGTACTCCTAACCCCATGCTGTTCAAGGGTCAACTGCAGTTAAGGAACACTAATATGGTAAGAAAGATGATAAACAAAATAAATCAAGGCCTCAAAACTGAGGGGAAAAGGCAACAGAGCAATCAAACGTATATTTAATATCTTCAGAACAACAGAAGAAAATAGTAAATAAGAATCAAGAACAGGTAGTTATGAGAAGAACCAATTAGAGATGTTACAAATGAAAAATAAGTGAAGGGGACAAGACGGTGGAGTAGTAGGACCTGAGCTCACCTCCACTCGCAAAAACACCAAAATCACAACTAACTGCTGAACAACCATCAAAAAAGACTGGAACCTACCAAAAAAGATATTCTACTTCCAAAGACAAGCCACAGTGAGATGGCAGGAGGGGCGCATTAATGATACAATCAAATCCTATACCCACAAACTGGAAAATAAGTATATCGCAGAGGTTCTCCCATAGGAGTGAGAGTTCTGAGCCCCAGCTCAGGCTCCCCAGACTGGGGGTCTGGCATCAGGAGGAGGAGCACGCAGAGAATTTGGCTTTGAAGGCCAGCAGAGCTTGATCGCAGGAACGCCACGGGACTGGGGGAAACAGAAACTCCACTCCTGGAGGGCTCACACAAGGTCTTGTGTGCACTAGGACCCAGGGGGAAAAGCAGTGACTTCATTGCTGGACTTGGAGGGTCTCCTAGAGAGGCAGGGTGTAGCTGTGACTCACTGCAGGGACAAGGACATTGGTGGCAGAGGTACTGAGGAGTACTCATTGCCGTGAGCTGTCCCGGAGGCCACCATTGTGACACCAAGACATGGCCCCCACCCGACAGCCCTTAGGCTCCAGTGCTGGGACGCCTCAGGCCAAACAACAAATGGGGCAGGAACACAGCCCCACCCATCAACAGACAGGCTGCTTAAAGTCTTCCTGAGCCCACAGCCGCCTCTAAACACACCCCACTGACATGGCACTGCTCACCAGGAAAGCTGCACAAGGCTCTTAGCCCAGCCTCACCCACCAGGAGGCAGAAGCCAGAAGCCAGAGGAACTACAATCCTGAAGCCAGTGGGACCACAAACACAGCAAGTGTGACAAAATGAGATGGCAGAGGAATATGTTCCAGACGAAGGAAAAAAGATAAGACCCCAGAAGAACAACTAAGTAACGTGGAGCTAGGCAATCTACCTGAAAAGAACATTCAGAGTAATGATAGTAAAGATGATCCAAGATCTCAGAAAAACAATGGAGTTACAGACTGAGAAGATACAAGAAATGTTTAACAAAGAGCTAGAAGATATAAAGAAGAAACAAACAGAGACGAACAATATCATAACTGGAATGAAAATACACCAGATGGAATCAATAGCAGAATAAATGAGGCAGAAGAATGGATAAGTGAGCTGGAAGACAGAATGGTGGAAATCATTGCTGCAGAACAGAATTTAAAAAATAAAAAAGAATGAAAAGAAGTGAGGAGAGTTTAAGAGACCTCTGGGACAACGTTAAATGTAACATTTGCATTATAGGGGTCCCAGAAGGAGAAGAGAGAAAGGGCCTGAGAAAATATTTGAAGAGATGATAGCTGAAAACTTCCCTAACATGGGAAAGCAAACAGTCACCCAAGTCCAAGAAATGCGGAGAATTCCAGGCAGGATAAACCCAAGGAGGAACACACTGAGACACATATTAATCAAACTGACAAAAATTAAAGACAAGCAGGAAATATTAAAAGCAAGAAGGGAAAAGCAACAAATAACATACAAGGGAACTCCCATAAGGTTATCAGCTGATTCTTCAGCAGAAACTCTGCAGGCCAGAAGAGACTGGCATGATATATTTAAAGTGATGAAAAGGAAAAACATACAACCAAGAATACTCTACCCAACAAGGCTCTTGTTCAGATTTGATGGAGAAATCAAAAGCTTTCTGGATAAGCAAAAGCTAAGAGAATTCACCACCAAACCAGTTTTACAACAAATGCTAAAGGAACTTCTCTAGACAGAAAAGAAAAGGCCACAACTAGAAACAAGGAAAATATGAACGGGAAAGCTCACCAGTAAAGGCAAACATACAGTAAAGGTAGGAAATTATCCACAAATATGGTATCAAAACCAGCAGTCATGAGAAGAGAGTACAAATGCAGGATATTGGAAATGCATTGGAAATTAAGAGACCAGCAACTTAAAACAATCTTGTGTATACATACAGACTGCTATATCAAAACCTCATGGTAATCACAAACCAAAAATCTACAATAGATATACACACAAAGAAGAAAGAGGAATCCAAACACAACACTGAAGACAGTCATCAAATCATGAGAAGAGAACAAAAGAGGAAGGGAAGCAAAAAGGCCTACAAAAACTAATCCAAAACAATTAACAAAATGGCAATAAGAACATACATATAGATAATTACCTTAAATGTAAATGGATTAAATGCTCCAACCAAAAGACATAGACTGGCTGAATGGATACAAAAACAAGACCCATATATATGCCGTCTATAAGAGACCCACTTCAGATCTAGGGACACATACAGACTGAAAGTGAGGGTATGGAAAAAGGTACTCCATGCAAATGGAAATCAAAAGAAAGCAGGAGTAGCAATACTCATATGAGACACAATAGACTTTAAAGACTATTACAAGAGACAAAGAAGGTTACTACGAGATGATCAAGGGGTCACTACAAGAAGATATAACAATTGTAAATATATATGCACCCAACATAGGAGTACCTCAATCTATAAGGCAAATGCTAACAGCCTTAAAAGAACAAATCATCAGTAACACAATAATAGTGGGGGACTTTAACACTGCACTTAACGTCAATGGATAGACAGAAAATCAATAAGGAAACATAGGCCTTAAGTGACACATTAGACCAGATGGACTTAACTTTTATTTATAGAGCACTCCATCCAAAAGGAACAGAATGAACATTCTTTTCAAGTGCACATGGAACATTCTTCAGGATAGACCACATGCTGGGCCATAAAGCAAGCCTCAGTAAATTTAAGAAAACTAAAATCATATCAAGCATCTTTTCCAACCACAACACTGTGAGATTAGAAATCAACTACAAGATAAAATAGCGTCAGAAAATATAAAGTACATAGGGATAAATCTGACAAAAGATGTAGAAAAACTGTACACCAGAAACTGAAAATCATTGCAGACATAAACCAATAAGAAAACCTAAATAAATGATAATATGAGGGGAAAAACACCTTATCTATAGAGAAAGAGATTTTTTTTTTTGCATTACGCGGGCCTCTCACTGTTGTGGCCTCTCCTGTTGTGGAGCACAGGCTCCGGACGCGCAGGCTCAGTGGCCATGGCTCACGGGCCCGGCCACTCTGCGGCACGTGGGATCTTCCCGGACCGGGGCACGAACCCCCTGCATCGGCAGGCAGACTCTCAAACCACTGCGCCACCAGGGAAGCCCCGAGAAAGAGATTTTAATAGATTGAATTTTGGTTCCCCAAAAGATATGTATAAGTCCTAAACCCGTAGTTGTGAATGTGAATATTTGGGACAAAAATTCTTTGCAAAAGTAATTAAGTGAGGAATCTCAAAATGAGATCATCCTGAGTTATCTGGATGGGCCCTAAATCTAACGTAAATGTCTTTATAAGTTTATAAGAATAAGAAAATATACATAATACACAAAGGAGAGACACAGAGGAGAAGGTCATGAGAAGATGGAGGCAGAGACTGGAATCATGCATCCCCAAGTCAAGGACTGGAACCACCAGAAGATGGAAAAAGCAAGGAAGCATTCCGCCCTAGAGCCTTAGGAAAGAAAGCAGTCTTGCCAACACCTTGATTTCAGACTTCAGGCCTCCAGAACTGTGAAATAATAAATGTGTTTCAAGGCACCCAGTTTGTGGTAATTTGGCAGCTCTATGAAACTCATATACATATGCAAGAATCACAGTGGACCTCTCATCAGAAACTATGCAGAAAACAGTGTGAAGTAAAATATTTAAAGTATTGAAAGAAAAAAAAATCCAGCAACCTAGAATTCTATATCCAGCAAAACTGTTCAAAAATGAAGAGAAGAGGGGCTTCCCTGGTGGTGCAGTGGTTGAGAGTCCGCCTGCCGATGCAGGGGACACAGGTTCATGCCCCGGTCCGGGAAGATCCCACATGCCACGGAGCGGCTAGGCCTGTGAGCCATGGCCACTGAGCCTGCGCGTCCGGAGCCTGTGCTCCGCAACGGGTGAGGCCACAACAGTGAGAGGCCCACGTACGACAAAAAAAAAAAAAAAAAAAAAAATGAAGAGAAGATAGACTTTCTCACACAAACAAAAACAGGGAATTCATTGCTCATACATGCACCTTGTGAAAAAAAAATGTTAAAACCGTTCTTTGGGCAGAAGGGAAAATATATAGGTCAAAACCTTGGATCTACATAAAGCAAGGAAGAGCATTAGAGAAGGAAAAAAGTGAAAAAAATGATTTATTTTTCTTATTCTTAATTGATCTGATAACTGCCTAATAACAATGTACTGGGTGATCATAGCATATGCATAAAAAATGAATAACAGCAATGTCACAAGGGATGGGTGGAAGGAATTGCGAATGCTCTCTAATAAAATACATACACTATATGAGAGAAAAAAAAAAGAAATGAAAAATAAAACCCAACTGGTAGTCTCTCTAAAGAGCAGGATGGAAAGTGCTAAAGGATAAATTATGAAGCTGGGAAACAGAACAGAAAAATTACCTCAGTGTAGTACAGAGAGATGAAGAAATGAAAAGCATAAAAGAAAAATTGAGAGACATGGAGGACAGATTCAGATGCTCCAAGTATCTAACAGGAGTTCCAGAAGGAAGGAAAAGGAAGGCAATATTTGAAAGGTTTGAGAATTTCCTAGAACTGAAGTTAAGACATGAATTCTGAGACTGAATGAGCCAACCAGGATGATGAAAACAAAAACCATATCTAATTATATCACAGTGAAATTACAGATCATTAAAGATAAAGAGAAAACTCAGAGGTAGATTAACTACACAGAAATGAGAATCAGATTGACATCAGACTTTGCATCACCAACAGCAGATACTAGAAGACAACGAAGCCACTATCTCAAAGGCTAAAGTACCTGGCAATGCCCTGAACTAGAAGAGGTAGATGAGTCAATGGAAGAACATTAGAAAACAAAAACAAAAAACCACTTGATTGCATTTCATTCCTGATGATTCTGGGTAGGGCCCTGTTCTGTGAATTAGGGAAAGTTAATCAGGGAAAGAAAACCTCCCATGATGGTTCTTACGTGACCTCTAGTTAAGAACTTCTGTGCAATGGGATCATATGAGGGAATAATTAATTTTGGAGGTGCAGAGTGTTGGGAAAGCTATAGAGAGGAGGAGGCACTTGAAGGATAATTAGGAGTTTACTAGGCAGACAAGGTGGAGGAGGACAAGGTAACCTGAAAGAGGGAAGAGAATGAATAGGTGACAAAGAGGAATGAAGGTGAGCAAAAGTAGTCTGTTTGGGAAAAGCAGCCTGGCGTAGCTTAAGAAGGAATGATCAGGCTGGATAGGATGTGATGGGGCCTATCTCACCAGCACAGAATTAATTATTAAAAAGGTACCTTCACGTTACCTTTACAATTAAAAAATAAAAACAAAAAGTTACCTGAGCATTGCCATATTGCACAGTGGAACAGTGGTTCTTGATGTCACTCTTGCAGGCTTCATACAGATCTGGTTCCAGACGGATATCCTCTGTCTGTACGAGGGGGAACCGGCATGGAAAAGTGAGCTTACTCTAAGCTGGAGAGATCAAATGTTCTACATATTTATTTGTTGATTGGATCTTGTCTGGTGGCCATAACTTCTACACAGCTAAGTGGCAGCAGTGTGGTCACTGCAGTAAACGGAGAAGTAGGACTGAGTTTCAGTTCTGCCACTACCTAGCTACAAGGCCTTGGCCTTTGTTTGCAAAATGAAATGCTACCATCTACTCTGACCCCGTCACAGGACTGCTGTGCGATGAAATAAGATAGTATGATGTGGAAACCACTCTGAAAGCTAAAACCATTATACAGATGTAGGACTCTACTTTTATTATTATTATTATTTTACTGAAAGAGCCAGGTTCAAATCTGAGGACCCTAAGTTCCTATTATAGAAGTATGTTTAGGCCAGTTCCACTTAAACATAATTACCACAGAATCACTACCTCTGTATGTGAAAATCTTGTACTGCAACTTTGGGGATATTAATAATACCTGGTGTCCATTACTAGTTTTTGCTTAGACTGAGGTGAAGTAAGTATGATTCACAATACAAAACATATTAAAATATATTTTTAGCTGTCTTATGTGGCTTAGGCTTATCCTCAAAAGTAAAGTGAAAAGTAGTGTCCTCTCATAGTGCACACTGTGGGTGGCTTCCCAACATCCACCTCCCCTTGATTATCAGTAAGCTCATCAGTGAGTGCATCCCCTGATGGGGGATGGGGCACAGATCTCAAACTGACACAATCAAATTGAGAAGGACCTTTATTTCGTGCTGGGGGCAGTTTTCTCTTGTTTCTATTTTCCTGCTGGAGATGAATATTCCAACAGGTGGCCCAGTTGTTGTAGGCAGCCATTGTGCGGCCATGAGGGAAACCAGCCTTAACAATGAAGCTGGTGTCCAAGGTAGCAGACTGGAGAGGGAGAGACCCTCGATCCTCGAGGATATTATTGATGCAATGACTACATCACATGCTTATAGCTTGTCTTACAGCTGGACTTCCAGTTATGTGTGGTAAAAAATACTTTATCATTGAAAAAAAGGGAAACAAGAAGCTGTCCTATGGCAAAATTTTAGCACGCAGCTCCAAGTCTTAACCATCACGCTTGTGGCTGAAATCTTTCAGTTTGCCCTCACCCTTCACCTAACTCTCTAAGCCCTGCCCTGTGGTTTCTGGACCAGAGGTTGTGCTCTGCAGTGTTACCATCTCCAGCTCCTCCACCCGCAGCTGCTTGCGGCACTTCAGGGACACCCTGTGTTCCTTGGCTTCCTGGAGAGTGTCGTTGCGCACAGTCGTGCTTAGGCAGATCACCACATCCACCCTGCCAAGGAAAGAAGAGGCCTGAGACTGGCTGGAGCCACACAAAGGCAGATGGCCGAGAACTGGGCTGGGGCAGGGGCCACACCATCCCCCCAGAACCCCCAGAGCCCAGGAACTTTACCATGTTTTTGAATGCCTTTCCTGTAAGTCTCACTGTGTTTTCAGAGAGCTAAAAGCAGCAATTTGTCTGTATATGTCATAAAAGTTGGGCCACAGCTCAAATGCTGACAACATTCCTGGCTGGTGGGGAGGCCAGAGAGGGAACATGTGTGCAAGGACAGTTTAACACTTGTTTTGATGAAAACAAGTGACCAGAGAGGAATGCTGCTCTACTCTTAACTCTGGACAGTATCTTTGATATACTGAGAAAATCATTCCTGAAAAGTACAGAAATCTAAGCAAACACAGGAACTTGGTTTCTATGAGGGGAACTGTGTCCTAGAAATGCACCTTTGCAAAGAGCAGCATGGAAGAATCTGGGCAGCCATGCTATAAAAGCTCATCACTCTCCTCATTAACACTTAATTCATAAATGAATACAGCTTTTGTTTCTTTATTACATCTCTAATTCAGTGAAAGCCTCTGCTGCTTCCCTGAAGAGATGACACAATGGAATGATGTTCGGAGGAAATCAGTTAACATCTTATTCATACTGCAATGTGCTCCTCTAAGTACACAATCTGTATGTGCTTCATCAGTTAGATAGCCTGAACCCGGAAAAATGAAAAATGCTCCTTTAGGACACAGGCTCTCTACATCAGAACTACCACCACCAGGTGTGGCTCCAGGCTGCTATAAAGAGGATATGTCTAGACAATCCAAGTGTTTGGCCATACTACCAAAGGAGGGTGTAGGAGGCCTGCAGAGCTAATCCTGTCAGAGAGCAGCAGGCCACCTGACATCCTGGATACTCACTCAGTAGCTAAGAGGGACTTTAGGGAAGCAGAACCGATCAATTAAAAGCTACATACTTCTTCTTTATGTTGGGACAAAGTTTCAACACGTCCTCCTTGCAGGCCATTTTAAACTTGTAAGAGAACCGAAAATCCTTCATCTGCACCTAAAAAAGATGATGAAAAAGAAAATCAGAAGCTCTGTGACGAGGTCTAATCAGCAGCACTGGGTGTAAGTGTATTCATATACCGTTTGCAGCGGCTAGCTTTTCAGGCCTGCACAACTCTGCCTCTTCAGACTTCATGACCTGCTAAGCTGCCCACAGCATCTTTTGCTCCACGCACACCAGCTTCCAGTCACACACAGGCTGTGACTCTTCCCCCAGATCTTCCCATGGTTTGCTCCCTCACTTTTCTTGACGCTTCTATTCAAATACCTCCTTCTCAAGTCCCTTTTCTGCATCACCCTGCAGGCCTTACACTGCTTTATTTTTCCTCACAGGCTCACCTGAAACTATATATTTATTTGTAAATGTACTTTTGCATCTTTCTTTCACAAGAATGTAAACAAGTCAACAAGGGCAGGGTTTGTCTGTTCTCTCCTGTCTCCCAGTGCCCACAGTCCAGAGGCCCTCAGTACCATTTGGGGACGGCAGTCAGGGAGGCTAGGTGCCCCAAGAAGAGGTCAATTTTACATAGATGACTGGATTTCACCCTTCTAGGAAGGAAGTGCTTGATCAGAAATACTTCCTTTAGACATGTGGTAACTACAAAGACTATGATTTAACCTTCTTATTCAAATGCCAGACCTGGGTAGTATGATTTAAAATAAAAAAAAAGCTTAGATTCTAGTGTACTGATACACATTTGGGCTGCTGCACTGAACAGATATTTGGAAAAAATGATTTTTCACAGAAGAGATGCTCTGATGTTCTGAAAGAGGAAGGGATTCAGTAACCATCCAAGCAGTCAAGACAAGAAGGATGTGCCAGGTGTTACTGACCAGCTGGAAGTGGGTGACTCCAATGGCGCACTTCTCATTCATATCCTTCTGGTGTTTGTTCTGTATGAGACACTCCATCAAGTCTCCAGAGTCTATCTGGTTATCTGCTACATCCTGGGGAAGGTAGTGCACAATTACCCTTCATTTGTAACTATTAATGAACAAAGCCTGCACCCCAGCCCATACAAAAAATGCAAACGAGATTGATTCTAGAGCCTTTACAAATAAGACACATCACAAATTATGTCAAAATAAGTGTGAGACATTACAAAGGATTAACACTCAGGGGAATAAAATTTACGCAGCAAGTTGCCCTCCCCGCGTGAAGCTCCAACAAGAACATGTACTAAGCAGGTCTCTTAACTCTTTTCCTCATATGATGCCGGCAGCTGGCTCTAGGGATAACATCTAACATTGTCTGCTGATTGTCAGATCCTTAGGGTTACTGGGTGTGTTTCACTCCCACAATTTAGGTAGTTCAGTAAGTGACTAAAAGTAATAAAGTAACGGAATTCCCTCAACATCAGGTACAAGGAGAGAGTTGGAAGGGGAAGCCACATTATTGTTAACAAATCCTGGCTGTATGTATCAGAAGCAATTCAGCACTACAAATGGGGCTTCCCCCTCCCCTCTTTCCTTACAAAGGGCATCTCAGCAAGTGCTGTTAACCAACCATCTGGTTACCTACGAGGGGTAAAAGCAAATAGTTTCCCAGGATGGTGGCCCCTCTTGATGTTTACATTTTCAACTTTAACTGGTGAAAGTTGGTTATCACTTAGGAGCAATGTGAGCTGAAGACAGAGATGAGTTCAATACACGTGGGGGCCAGAGCCCCAGTGAAACTGGTTCTGTTTCTAACCCTTGTTCCTCTAGACATCACTTACATGGCAAAAGTTCTGAATTATGGGCTCGCAGGCTCTCATCAGCAAGGCTTCTATTTGAATATCCTGCAGAAGATTAAAATATCAGTAATTCTTTTTTTTTACATCTTTATTGGAGTATAATTGGTTTACAATGGTGTGTTAGTTTCTGCTTTATAACAAAGTGAGTCAGTTATACATATACATATGTTCCCATATCTCTTCCCTCTTGCGTCTCCCTCCCTCCCACTCTCCCTATCCCACCCCTCTAGGTGGCCACAAGGCACCGAGCTGATCTCCCTGTGCTATGCGGCTGCTTCCCACTAGCTATTTTACGTTTGGTAGTGTATATATGTCCATGCCACTCTCTCACTTTGTCACAGCTTACCCTTCCCCCTCCCCATATCCTCAAGTCCATGCTCTAGTAGGTCTGTGTCTTTATTCCCGTCTTGCCCCTAGGTTCTTCATGACCTTTTTTTTTTCCCCTTAGATTCTATATATATATATATATATGTTAGCATACGGTATTTGTTTTTCTCTTTCTGACTTACTTCACTCTGTATGACAGACTCTAGGTCCATCCACCTCACTACAAATAACTGTTTCATTTCTTTTTATGGCTCAGTAATATTCCATTGTACATATATGCCACATCTTCTTTATCCATTCATCTGTCGATGGACACTTAGGTTGCTTCCATGTCCTGGCTATTGTAAATAGAGCCGCAATGAACATTTTGGTACATGACTCTTTTTGAATTATGGTTTTCTCAGGGTATATGCCCAGTAGTGGGATTGCTGGGTCGTATGGTAGTTCTGTTTTTAGTTTTTTAAGGAACCTCCATAGTGGTTGTATCAGTTTACATTCCCACCAACAGTGTAAAAGGGTTCCCTTTTCTCCACATCCTCTCCAGCTAAAATATCCGTAATTCTGCTTTAGAAAGAGCCAGGGGTGGGGGAGGAGCAGTTTCTTTCTCTGAATCAGTATCATCTGATGGGTAAATAGTCCAATATGTACATTTGGAAACTATTCCAGTATTTCGGTTAGATAGCCCCAGCACAGACAGAACAGCAGTTCTACGCTACTCCTCTAATGCTCCTTCATTATACTCTGAAAGGCAAGTTTTCTAGAGGCAGATTCCCCTCGTGCTTAAGCAAGAGAGAAGACAGAGGTAAGAACTGTGGGGAGAAAAAAACATTTAAAAATAATATTAGAGTATAAACAACTCTACCCCAATAAAAAATAAAATAAAATAAAAAATAAAAATAAAAATAATATTAGAGTATGTAAAGCCTTTGGAATTTTTCTCCAAAGCTAAGCAGTTCAAAATGAAAACAGGAGTAACTGACATCTATCATTCTGTCCTCGAACCAGATGACAAACTACTACCTCTCGGGAACACACGCTAACTGCCTGCAAGCAGAGTAACTGCTGTGCAGCATTAGCTGCTGAAATAACATCTTCCTTTAAAGAGTTACACACCCCAGGGGCTTCCCTGGTGGCGCAGTGGTTGAGAGTCCGACTGCTGATGCAGGGGACATGGGTTCGTGCCCCGGTCCAGGAAGATCCCACATGCTGTGGAGAGGCTGGGCCCGTGAGCCACGGCCGCTGGGCCTGCGCGTCCGGAGCCTGTGCTCCGTGGCGGGAGAGGCCACAACCGTGAGAGGCCCGTGCCCCCCAAAAAAAAAAAAAAAAAAAAAAGAGTTACACACCCCAGAACATCCTCATCAGCCCACAAGGACAATGAGAATGAGACAGGAGATGACACAAGATAAAAGAAGGCAATGCATTTTTGAAAAACAGAAAGAAAATAAAGACCCTAAGAAATGTAATTTTATGTACTGCCAATTTTGACAACTTAAATAGTTCTAAAAGGCTTACATTAAAAAAAAAAAAAAAAAAAAAGCTATTCCCTGTTTCCCTGATTTCTGGCCCTACAAGACAATTTTCACATTTTAACTGCCACACCCCCGATACTCTCTATATTTCAAATAGTATGCCTATGCTTATGAGGTTTCTTTTTAATCTCATTTTTTGTACTTTTGTGAGTTTTAGGATGGAACAGGGATAAACATGGAATAACTGCAAATCCCAGGCTTTTATTTTATTTCAGTGGACACACAAACATTACCAAATGGGGACTTCCCTGGTGGCACAGTGGTTAAGAATCCGCCTGCCAATGGGGGGGAACACGGGTTCGATCCGTGGTCGGGGAAGATCCCACATGCTGCGGAGCAACTAAGCCCGTGAGCCACAACTACTGAGCCTGCACGCCTAGAGCCCGTGCTCCACGACAAGAGAAGCCACCACAATGTGAAGCCTGCGCAACACAACCAAGAGTAGCCTCTGCTTGCCTCAACTAGAGAAAGCCCACGCGCAGCAAAGAAGACCCAATGCAGCCAAAAATAAATAAATAAATAAGTTAAAAAAACAAAACAAAAAAACATTACCGAATGACCTAATTGAAAGAGCTAAGGATGACAGAATAGGAATGCTTGGACTATTCTTGAATGTGATTAAGGGATTTGAGGTATAGCTGTTATCTTTTCTTAAATGGGGAAAAAAGATTGGTCTCGTCACTGTGATAATTCTAATTTATGAAGAAAACCGAAGGGCTAAATGCAGTGTTTAGCTACAGAAATGAGGAAAGGGGTTCAAGAAGCATTATGATATTCATCTTTAAAAAGCAAACAGAGAATCTGACAAGGTTTCTTTTGTGAACTCTCAAGAGTCTCAAAACAAAAGAACTAAGAAGAAAAGAAAGGCTGCTGACAGGGCACTCTCCTTCCATGAGCTGCAAACTGCTTACCTCGGATTCTAACTCGGTGAGGTTGCCGACTATATCTCTGCACTCTACAGCCAAGTCATCAAGATGATCCTGGAGGCATTCAAGCTCCTGCAAATAAAAAGGCACTCTCTTAGCATTTGTCAGTTATATAAATAATCAAGGGTAGATGAGATACCTGTGTCCACTTCCTTTTCAGTGGTCTTCCTTTTCTTTTCTTTTAAACAACTTCACTGAACAGAATGCTAGAGCTTTATTTGAGTCCCCAAACTGGGATTTTTGAAAAGATAATTATTTGATGTACCAGGGTGGTTAAGAGGGTCAAGGGGGTACAACAGCCATGCAAATCCTCCAGAAGGCCAAACTGATAAGTCCAACAAGAATTAATGTTCAGGTGTCCTCAGACTCTAAAAATCTTATCAGGCCTTTACTCCATTCCGTCAACACCCTGCTAATCTGTATTTTGATAATTATCATTGGACAAAATATTCACAGTGAAAGACATGGCACATTCTATGACTCTTCATGGGCAAGTAAGTTGGGACCCAGTTTCAGGGTCTGAAACACAGTAGAGAGCTGATAGCTCCTGCAAATCAAATCTGGGATTCTAACCCTAACCCACATAAAAGGATCCTCCGAGGGTAACTGCAAAACAAGTGAGCACACTAGGGTTTGAGTATCTAAAAGCTATCTTACCTGGGCTTTGGAAACTGAGCTGGAGTTACCTTGTAACATCAGTCTATTGCTATTCCTTTTAGAGACTTAGAGGTTTTAAGTTTTACATTAGCTTACTTTCCCAAAGAACATGAACAGCTATTTCTCAGCAAAGGGCTCTGTTAAAGGATCAAGTTTAACTTACTGACTATTCTGCAAGAATCTCTGTTTCAGAATTAGAATGGGAAGCGAGAAGGATTGTGGGAATTATACAAGAGCCAGAAAGGGAGTTGGGGGGGGGGACCCTAAAGTAAAATGCATACAACTTTTGGGAAGAGATAAATAGCTAAGGGAAAAATTCCACTCATGGACTCCTTTCCTAAGTTTAGCTTCACAGTGATGGGCTGTAATGTAGTGCAGCTTTATCACTGTTACTTTACAGGGCATATGAAAGGAAACTGTTTCATGGGATTCCATATGACTATATCCCTTGTTTCATTAGACAGAGGCAACAGAAAGCTAAACTATATGGCATTTCCTAACAATAAACTCGACAGAACTGTAGCAGGCCCAGGAAATAGACTGCTGAAAATGATATTCCCAGGCCCAACAGATCTGAGTAGGCATCATGTTGCTTTTAAAAAATGTCCAATTCCTGCACATGTGACTTTCATTAGTTTAATCCCAGAGGGTGTTTTGGAGTGGTACAAATGGAACCGTTCATGCCTCCTTCTAGTATTAATGGGGCTTTAAATAAGTAGCTATTCCTCACTGCATGGTTCCTCTGCCTTGATCTAAAAGACAAGATACCTTCCCACCTAATTTGCTAGAATGCAACAACGTAACTTTTTTTTTTTTTTTAACTAGGCACAAAATCCTAAGAAACCATTTATAGCATGCACACTAATTCTTGGGGCTGCTCCTTTTCTACACTTTCCTGTACGGAGAGGTTATAATAAAATGGAACAAACGCCTGGCTAGGATTAGACCTGAGCTCTAGGTAAGTTAAGTCAATACCCTTCATTTCTCTGAGCCTCAAGTATATCAATTACTAAATGGAAAAAATAATTCCATTTCTACATCTCTTCTAGGACTGTCGTAGGGCAAGCATACTATTCATGCATATCAGTATTTGCATATCGATGTATATATTTATACTCTGCCTTCCCTCAAAAGGACCTAATGTAGCTTACAAAAATGAGAAAAGAAAAAAAAAGGGCAAGATAAAATCAATTAAAAATGAGTAAAAAAGAGAAAAGAAAAAGAAAATATGTTAAGGAAAGTGGAATGAAGCCAGTAGTAAGTTAGTACACAAAATGCCTACCACAAAATCTAATACACCTGCTAGAGGCATGCCATATCTTTGGCTCGAGGCTTTTTAAGAGGCAGCACAAAGAGGGAAAACAGTCAATTACAAACCATAATAACCATAACATTAAAACAAACTAACTGCTTAGGAAAAGTACAATTATAGAGACCAAAGAGAACATTTTCCTCAGGATTTCTTATAGGAAGAACAGTGACTAATATAACAAATCACACACCTGTGAAGCTGATAGAGATGGATTTTACGGTGTTTGTAGTCGACATAAAATGTTAATCATGAACATTATTATTATTACTACACCATAAATAGGTAGCTTTGTCACCTACCTGTCCAGTCTCTGTTTTTTCACTGCACCATTTCCCCAGATCAATCAGGCACTTATCCTGAAGGGCAGGATCCAGCTTAACGTCCATGGCACGCTGG